CTGGTGTCCACAAAAGCTTTAGAGAACTGACCCCTTCAGCCTGTCCAGAGATGTTTTCCAGGCTGCAAAGCCTCAGCGGTTTGAAGACCTTTCACGTATACCAAAGAGCTTCAGTCTGGGTGAAATGCAGAATGCTAACATTTTCACTTTTAAGAGCCCAGGGGCCGAGTGCAACCTAAGCACACTTGTAAATCGTGCAAAACAGGCACTTGTGAAAGCCCTCCCCCCCCCCGCACCCCCCCCACACGGCCCCACTCTCAGTCTGTGTCAATGCTGTGTGCCTGGAGCGTCAGGAACCCAAAATTCTGAGAACTCTTTTTCCGGCTGGCGATGTGGAAGTTTGGGTTCACAGCGGGGATTTTGAAATCTCTGTAGGATTCCAGTCAGTGTGTGTCATGGAAAAGCAGATTCCCTGGCCCATCCTGCCCCCTTCAACGCGCCATGGAAAGGTGGGCCTGGGACCCACGACCCTGTGTCCCCTGCGGCGTCCAGCACATCCTAGGTGCCCTGTGGTGAAACAAGGATTCTGCTGAAGAGACCCACTGCAGGCACCTGGCTTTCCAGAAGCAACGGATTAGAGTCTCCTACAGTTTAAGAAAAAAAGAAAAAAAAAAAAAAGAAAGAAAAAGAAAAAGAAAAAACAACACAGCATAATCCAGCAGCTCAAGACCCCGGGTGTAGAAGCAATTTGCTTCTGAAACTCTAACAGGAGATGCTTCAGCACGTCCCGGCAGCTCTGCAGCCGCCGGCAAGTAAATATTTCCACGTGGAAGAAAAGGATCCTCCAAAATGTAGCGTGCTCCGTTCAGGAGAGAGTTGCGGTGAGGTTCCCGGCTTTAGTGGCAAAGGGCATTATTATGTATTGATTTCAGCTTGACAGCTGTGTGGCTTTCCATTAGTCCCATGTGAACTGAGTCTGTCCGACAGCCCACCCCATCCCCACCACTTTAGGGAACAACAGAGCAACCTCGGGCGGACAGGTCACTCCTGCACAGAACGCTCTGATTATCTGGTGAGTCAGAAACAGTCATATTAAAAGCTTGGACAAACCTCATGTTTAATCTGTACTGTTATTGCTCCCTCTCTTCCATTTCTGTTTGCTCCCCAAAGACTAAAAAAAAAAATCTGACTCGTGTCACTTGTGCCCTGAGTTTGAAACAAGCAAGGGGCAGGTCTAACGTGAAATTGATGGCTGGCAGTCACCGGATATCATCTTTGTTATTCACACAGACAGCGTTGTTGTTGTTTTTTTTTTTTTTGTTCTCTTTAGTAAAAATATTCGGACGAGTGGCCAAGAGTCTCAGGCTTGAGTCTGCTGCTCTCCTGCCTGCTCAGGTCCGAGGCGTCCCCAGGGAGCTCGGAAGCCCAGGAAACTTTCCTGCTCTGAGGTTTCAGAAGGACACTTTTCAGCCAGACTTCAAGCCCCTGAAATGAAAGTGAATTCTGCCCAGCACAGACGAGTCATGTTTAATTCAAGTGAAATTCATTCACTCGTTTGTTCTATAAATATTTATTGAGAGCCTATTTTGCCTAAGAGGCTGCCCCTCATGAAAGGCCATGATGTCTTGGGCGGACTGAGCCCCCACGTGGCACAGACCCCCAGCTGCCTTCTGTGTTCAGCCTGGCCCCGCGGTGAGTCTACACAGGCCTGATCCCGGAGCTCTCAGGTGGTTTGCTGTTTTGTTTTGTTTTTTCAATCAGACTCTTAACTGCTTATTTAATCTAAAAAAAATTTTTTTAGGTAAATCGTAACGACAGTACTGGGATAGCTCCTAGTGTATTTTATTTAATTTTTAAATTTTTAAAATTTTATTTTTTATTGAAGTGTAGTTGATTTACAACGTTAGTTTCAGGTGTACAGGAAAGGAATTCAGTTATGTATATATACACATACGTATATATTTTTTTCAGATTCTTTTCCATTATAGCAAATTACAAGACATTGAATATAGTTCTCTGTGCTCTACATAGATCACTGTTGTTTATCTATTTTATGTCTGGTAATGTGTGTCTATTAATCCCAAACTCCTAATTTATCCCTCCCCCCTTTCCTCTTTAGTAACCATAGTTTGTTTTCTATGTTCATGAGTCTATTTCTGGTTTGTAACTAAATTCATATCTTGACGGTGGAGGGGATAGCTCAGCAGTAGAGTGCATGCTTAGCGTGCACGAGGTCCTGGGTTCAATCTCCAGTACCTCCATTATAAAAAAAAAATTTGTATCTTTTTTTTTAAGAGTCCACTTGTAAGTGACATCATATGATTTTTGTCGCTGTTCTTCTGATTTACTTCATTTAATATGTGTTTAATCTAAATTTTAACACTAAACCTAGATCTACCGAAAATAACAGAGGACAAATATAGCCTCTTGGTTGGGTGGGGGGAATATAAAATACGGGGGAAACTGCCTTCAGTTTCAGTCATCACATCCCCAGCTCCTTAATGAAGACATCCCCCCCCACCCTGTGCCCTCATTCCTACAATGTAAACAGCCACTAATAGCTCCGATTTCTCTTTGTTCAAACAAACAATAGCCTTTCTAACTAAGAAGAAAATTAGGATCAGGTGAAAGCTCGTTTTCGGGGGCTTAGAGCGTTCTCTTTTTTTCCCAGAAGGACGGAGTCCAGCACTAATCTCGAGAAGAAGAATTAGCTTTTAAAGTTGGGAACAAAGTCTGCCTTCATGGTGACCAGGCACACTTGTGACTGAGTTTGAAATATTTTTTTCTTCTCTTTAACTTCCTCACTGAGGAGCGGGAGTTTGGGGTACAGGAAGGTCAAAGGTCTGGGAAGGCAGCAGCCCCTCCCGGCTTTGGGGCAGACCCGCTGCCTCTGTGACAGCCCAGGCGGGCGAAGCCTCGGTGCTGGGGGCCTGGATTTCTTTGCCAAATTAGGGGCTTACACTTAACAAATGTCTGAGGAGTGCTTAGCAATGAAAGATGACTCAAATCTGCCCTGAATGCCTTGATTCCTTTCCAACGTAAAAGGAATCTCTTCCTGCTTGACCTCAAGTGCTTAAAAAAAAGCACCATGTGATTTGAAACTTCAGTCCCTGGGAGACATAAAAGAGACTTGGTAAACATTCGGTGTTATTCTATGCAATAAATTCAATTTGGGGCCAAATTTCAAGAGCAATCCAGGGACGTGCACGTGGGTGGGTAAACCTGAAACATGATGACGCACTTTTCTCCATTTTGCTCTTTGTGTTTTTAATAATTATTAATTCTGGAAGTCACTGGAATAGGCCAATGAGCTGATCCTTTGCTCATCAGTGTTTTCAGGGTCTGAAAAAGCGTTATACTGCATTTTCACACGTTATCTCTGACGGTTTGAGGTCACTTTTCTTCAGGTTTGTGGTAGAATTTGGTTTCCTCGTTTTGGATTCTAATATACCAACAAAAATAGATCTTAAGAAGTAGTGAAGTTTTTTGGGGGGGGCCTCAAAATAGCATTTAATATCTGGTGTTTAGTGAAATTAAGCAACTCAGACGGATAAGCAATTATCCTTCACATCTTTAAGGCATAGAAATTAAGACTAAGTTAGAGCTATTTCATTTTTCTTAATGGAAAATATTGGCTCCATGAGGAATGGACTGTCATACCTTGTAAATGTTTTAATTTAAGTAGAATGAAGAGACACCCGAATTAAAATGAGATTGGGTGAAAAGAAGAACACGAGGGGAGGAAATTTGGGTCAGGAGAGTTAATGCTGTACGGAAATTGTTTGACTAGAACCAAGGCGTGATTTGAGGGGAAACCGTGGGGCCAGTGAGACAGGCTTCACTGCAGGCTGTGGGGGTCGCATCCCTTTGGGGTCAGTCTCGTTTGTAGGTCTCAGTGTGTGATCCTAAAATATCACACACGTGGCTTGCAGAAGTTTCGGGCTGCTTACAGCCAGGCCACAATCTTCCCAGGTAGGACCCATGAATCTGATCTCGTGGGGGACGAGCAGGCAGACAAGGAACGCTGGACGGACTGCGGGGCGTGGAGGCCGGCGGGGACGTCCTCTCCCTGATCGGCTGGGGCATCTGGAGAGGACCGGCCGGCTCCTCCGCGTTCACCGCGGGAGCCCCCTTCGCAGAGGGAGCTGTGCTCCTGTGGCCTCTGGAACTTGGAAATGATGACAAAGGAAAATTGATAGGAGGGTGTCAGGAGGAAAAGGGAAGTTTCCTTTTGAGCTGGACGCAGGGCCCCGGCCCTAGAGATGGTGAAGATGGGGAGACGTGGGAACGCTCACGTTCCTGGCGGGGCTGTAACGTGATGCGGCTGCTTTGAGAAAGGGTTTGGCAGGACCTCGAGAAGTTAGCTCAGCAGTTCAGCTCCTGGACATCACCTGTGAGAGCTGAAGAGACGTCGCACAGAAGCTTCCCCACAGGCATTCACAGCCGCATTATTCGTAAAAAGGGGAGGCGGCCCAGGTGCCCATCAGCCGAGACGAGCAGATGAGCAACATGTGGTCTATCAGTTTGGCCCTAAAAGGGAGGAGGTAGTGAGCCCTCCCAAGAAACCAGTCACGGGAGGAGGCTCAGAGCAGGCAGAGCTGCGTGGTGAGGACCACAGTGGCCATCCTTGGGACAGGGAAGCCTCCGCTCTGCTTTGAAGGGCTTCGTCAGGCCCACCCTGGGCATCGGGGTAATTGTTCCGAGTTCAGGCCAGCTGGTGAGGGCCTTCCGTTACATCCGCGGGCCCCCTCGGCGCCAGCACCGAGGTCAGCGATGGGCAGCGATGGAGTGACCGGGGCTGAGCCTGGCGGCGACGTGCGGTGTCGCCGCCCAGAGCCAGTCACGTGGCCTGTTTTTGCTTGCACTGCTACTTCCTGTTCCTGAACCTCTGAACGCCCGTGGCTTAAGGATTTTGTCTGCGGCCAAATCGATGGTTTCTCCAGTTGGGAAACAGAGGTTGCCAGCTGGCCATCCCAGGTTTCTTGAGTGGCTGAAACAAACAGGAAAAAAGGAGAAATGGCTGCTGGCTGGGGTACTTGGCAAGAGCGATGGGGTGAGGGGAAGGGATACTAGGGGACCTGGGGAGGGAGCCTGGGGGCTGTCTCCTTATACCAACAAGTCCAGTGGTAAAATGTGACCAGAGACTGACAGGGGTTGATTTTATGTGTCCACGTGGCTGGGCCTCGGCACCCAGGTTAGTGGTCAAGCATGTTTTGGATGTTTCTGTGTGAGCGTTTTTGGGTGAGATTAACATTCAGATCAGTGGACTTTCAGTACGTAAGAAACCTTCCACAGGGGGAAGGCAGAGCTCAGTGGTAGAATGTGTGCTTAGCATGCACGAGATCTCGGGTTCGATCCCCTATGCCATTAAGTAAATAAATAAAAATAAATCTAACTGCATCCTCCCACTGAAAAAAAAAGCAAAAAACAACTTCCACAGTGTGAGCTGCCTTCCAGAGCGTGTGTCGGGGTGACGAGTAGGGTGGGGCCCATCCGATCAGGTGAAGGCCAGAACTGAAGGCCGACCTTCTCCAAAGGGGCAGGCCCACAGCTGACGGCCTCTGGACTTGAACCTCAGCCTCCCCTCCCCTCTGGGTCTCTGGCTGACGGTCCGCTCTGCAGATCTGGGATGTGCCTGCCAGCCTCCACAGTTGCCTGAGCCAGTTCCTCAAAATAAATCTCTTTCTGAGTAAACACACGTCCTTTAGGTTCTGTTTCTCTGGAAAACCCCGACTAACACACTCCTCTACAGACAGGACCGGCAAACTCAATTCTCAGGTTCCTTAAGAATACATATTTGGGAAGCCCTCGTGTCTAAGCAAAGCAAGCCCTTCGAGATGCTGGCTGAAGGCAAACAACGCCGGTGGCGGAAGGAAGGGCCTCGGCAGCAGCGCCGGCCGCCGCAGGGTGATGCGGGCCCTTCCTCCCTCGCTGCGTCACGTGCACGTTTATGAGATAATTACTTCTCATTTCCACCCCTCCCTCTTCTCTCCCACGCTGTTGTGCACACAGCCTGTTGGCAGCTGATCACCACGTAGTGAGCAGATTTCAGAACAGCGGGACGGCACACGGGTGGACTCGAGGGTGGAGACACACTGGCGGTGAGGACGGACGGGACGCAGAGGGTGACCACTGGGGCTTTGGGCTGTTGCCTGTTGGACAGAGTGTGTGTATGTTTTGTCTGAGATAAGGAGAGGGCGCTGTGTTAAAGAGAGCTGGTTGTTGTTGGAAGCAAATGTCAGGGAAGAAATGTGTGTGTGTGTTTGTGTGAACCTAGAAGAATGGAAGAAGTCGATTCAGTGGGCATTCCTCACCCCTTGTGTCTTGGCGGAATCCCTCAGGTGCTGTGTTAGGGGGATGCAGTGCACAGCTGACCCCGACCAAGGCTGGACCACAGGTAACTCTCCCCCTCCGCCCCAGTGCGGTATGAACTTGGGCACCAGACCTCAGCGGGACCTGCTGGATGCTCCCACGTGGATCCTGGACTCGTTGACAGGAAGTGGTACTTAGAATCTGTTCGCAGTCATTGTATTGTTGTCCAAGTGCTGGAATCCTGGCCTGGCTTTTCATGCAAAGAGAGAGCCATGCTGCTTCCTGCTCCCTGACCCTCCGGAATTCCGGAGCTCCTGGTAGCCTTCTGAGTCCTCCCTCAGTCAGTTCTGTGGCCCTCCCCCCATTCAGTACCCCACCAGTGAGCGTCTTGTGCTTAACGTAGACAGAGGTGGTGGTTCTGGTTGCAACCGGAAAGCTGATCAGGCTGTGGGGTGTGACCCCCAGGAGAGAAGTGGGGGGTCTGAGACGGCTGCCCATCGAGGGAGGCTGGCTTCCCAGAAGAGGTCCGGCCGTTCTGCTCCCTAAGACACAGCAAAGGAACTGCAGCGCTGGCGCAGATGGGGGCTGGGATGTTCTTTCCTGGCCTTCCTCTTTTTAATGATTCAGGGTTACCCTTAACCCCTGCTGTCTTGGTTTCTTCCTTGTACCAGGGGCAGACCTCGCGGTTACCGCTGCCCCAGATCCCACCTAGACAGTGCATAGGAGGACCAGCACGTAATAGGATGTCCCCCAATAACACTGGAAGCATTGAAAGTTTGTGGTATGAAAGGGGCACCTTTGGAGAAAAAAGCCAAGCAAGCGTCTGCCGTTGCATGCTGTGCTAGAATTCGATCGCTTTGGATTCTGCACACAAACCTTCGTATTTGTTGTGGAATCTAGGCTGGGAATTTTGCCTGCTCTCCAGGGTATTAAAACATCCTGTCCCACATGTGTGTGTATACATATAACTGAATCACTTTGCTGTACACCTGAACTAACCTTGTAAGTCAGCTACACTTCAATAAAAAATTTAAAAACAAACAAACAGAAAAAAACCACACCGTCCCACAAATGGAGAAAGGTCTTCCATAGCAGGTGGCTTAGACGGTGGACCATAGATTTAGCACTTAAACCTGGATTTCTCGCCTCCCAAATCTGTGCTCTCGGTATTAGAACGGTCGCCAGATTCCAACTGGCCCCCCCCCATAGTGACGTATCCGGGAGAGGGGAGCAGGAGTGGGTGGGGGGTGGGCTGGCCACTTACCTGTGAGGCGGGGGCTCAGACTGAGCCCCTGGGGACACTGGATGCTCTGTGACCTTAAATTAGCCTTTTGCCTCCCTCTGCGCAGTTCCACATCGGAGGGGAAGGGAAGTGGTAGGCACCCTCTCATCTTGCTGTGCTCTAGAAAAACTATACAAAGGAAGAAAGTGAAAGGAGAGCATCTGTTTATCTTGTGTGATTTTGCAACACATTCTGTTGAAACATTTCAAAATCCTCCTCCTCATCCTGGTTCACAACTGCTTTTTTTCAGAGGGAAACTCACATATTTTGTGAAATCAGCCACTCCATTTTACTCCTTATTCCTGGATTGCAGTCACTGGGGTGGGGAATCACTTATGACCCTGTTATACGAGGCAGCAGAGAGCATGTCCTCTGTCCCAAGCAAGTCTTTTTCTGGGAAGATGGCAGGTCTGCTCAGCCCCGAGCCAGCTCCATCCCTGCTTGGTGGGAGCAAGGGCTGGGTCAGCCCTGCCTGGACAATGAGGGAAGTCAAGGTTTCCAGATGGAGGAAGAAAAGCAAGCTGATGGCCATTACTATGGTTCGTAAACACAAAAGAAGATATTAAAAATTATACATGAGATACAGGGAATAATGTTCCAAACATCCCAGAGCAGCCACTCGGCTTAAGCGTTAGAGCTGACCGACACTGAAGGTCCCAGGTTATGTACTGACATATATATGTGTATCTCCTAGTTTTGTGTTCCTTATTCACTTCATTTCCTTTATAATTTTCCCACATAGCAATGTTCCCTTAAGCCATATATTGCTTAATCGTGCATATTTTTGTGTCTCTTTTGCATATTTTTGTCTCTCTTTTGTGTCTCCAGTACCTTGCTGGAGGCACCCTGCTTTTTCGTTCCGGTGTGTGTAGGGGGTGTCATCGTGGGTGTCGATGCACGTAGCTCTAAGTCCTTCATTCCCACTGAGCTACGGAATCCACTGCACGAATACACCGTAATTTGCTTACCCATAAGAAGATACGGTTTTTTCTCTTTTTTTTATTGCTCACACTATCATGATATTTTAGTATTATCTGCACATACGTAATTATTGTACATTGTTATTCATAAGTTGTAAACTTCCTCTGAGCATTGGCTCCACTACACACAAGACTGGACCCTGAATTGCTGGATTTTCTCTGTAGTTTCTCTGGAAACCAGAGATCTGCAAGCCAGGGGTACCACCAGTCTCCTCTCTCAGCCTCCTGGTGCCTCCCTGTAAAAGCAGTAACCTGTTCTTCAAATGATGCTTCCTCCCAGCTGTGCCACCAGGTAGACGTCGAAACCTCAGGGATATCACAAATACCTCCTGACATCAAAACCCCAATTTATGTCACCTGTAGTTTAACCTAAAGGCGAGTTTCCATCATTAGAATGACAGTGTCATTTCGCACATCTTGTATTTCACCTTCCCTGATTTTAGTTTCTAAAACATCGCCCCGCTTCCTGTGCCCCTTGTGAAATGGTAGCACCGTTACTCATGTGGGTCCGTCACCCGGGCATCCTGCGAAGCTGGTTTCAGAGCACATTGTGATGAACAGAGCCTTCTGTAAAGGAGCACTGAAAATGATCGAGACACTGGTGGATCCGAACAGGCCCCAGATATACCATAGCAACAAGTGAACGGTAATTGCTGCCTCACAGGCGTTTTCCTCAGCTCCACGCTCATGAAACTGATGCTCATGTCACGTCCTCAGGAGGAGCCCCGGTCAGGTCTGGCCACCACCGTCCATGTGGGGTGGGGGCTCGGTGCTGGACCCAGGAGGAAACGGGGGGGTTCTCCTCCTTCCCACCCCACTTCCTGCCCTCTTCCTCCTGACATGCCCCAGCGCCGTCCCAGCACTGACAGAGATGTGGTGGTTCTGGGCATCCCGCACCCCAAGTCCATTAATCCACGCCACCCAATAAGAGTTTGCTCTCGGGAAGCGGAACACCCTGTTGGCCCAAAGTTCTAATCTCGGTGGACGTGCAGCCAAGACCAGCGCAGCAGGGGAGGCAGTGAGGGGGCAGTGACCACACAGTCCTCCTCTCTCCAGGACCAAAGTCAAGGTGAGGACCCTGGCTCCCCGGACCTCGGCCTCGGCTGCTGGGCTGGGGAGGCGGATGCCTGTAAAAGCTAAAAGAGTTGTTTCTGCAAATGGACGCAAGGTGGATGTGGCCCCGGCCCTGCTTCTCTGTGGCACAGAGGCTGGAAAGGACTCCCAGGGTCTGCTGGACTTGGGCGTGAGGGGATGCGTAGCCCTCAGCAATGATCCCAGGGACACCCAGGAAGGCGCTAACGCGGGAAGAAGGGTTCCGTTTCCTGGGGATCCCTTGGCCTGCCTGTCTCGCTGAGGGGTCTGTCGGGTGAGACGCTCAGGGTAGGGGGGCCAGTCCTCTCGTGGTGAGAGGACTCGGGGCGGAGCTGCTGGGGTGGCGGAGTCTTTCCCATGGAGCGCTCGAATGGCGCACCTCCTGGAGGGGGAGAGAGTGAGCACAGGAGCCGCGGGGCGGGCGGGGCCGAAGGCTTTCCTGCTGCTGGCTCGGTCGGGGCTGACCCATCAGGCCGTTCCGCAGAGTACAGCCCTTTCTGTCTCCCCAGTCCGCCTGGAGAGTTGGTTTCACTGAGGTCTAGATATTTTAGAAGTAGTTCCAATGCCCTGAGTGGTGTTAGAGCCTCCCCCGCCGTCATTGCCATCTTTGAAGTGTGATCTGGATGCTGGAGGTTTGTGCTCCGGCTTCTCCAACTCAGTTTGTTTCCATGGTTACAAAACATCGTGCTCTTCCTGACCCACAATGCATCAGGAGGGGCACGCAGGCTCCTGGTAAGGACTGTATCGTCTTCCAAATTTGCAGACCTCCTTAACACTCTCCAAATATTAGAAAGGGGGGTACCCTCCTGTTGTGTGTGCTAGCTGGCAGTCCTCGTTTTTATTCAAGTGTTTTGCAGGGAGCAAGGTGGAGGATATTTGCATTGTAAATTACAAATACTGAAGCATCGACCCCCAGTAGTGGAAATCTCGGGCAAAGAGGTTGGAATGCAAGAGAGGAGCAGCCACTGTCACAGTGTCCCAGCGGAACTTTCTCTTGCCCCGGCCAAGCCCCCTAGTCTAGCTCTGTACTTGGAGGGAGGAAGCCCTGTCCGGGTGGCCAGGTGCTGCGATGGTGGAGGACAGGTGGCAGGTCTGAACGACCTGGATGTGAGTCTTTTTCTTACTAGCCGTGGATAATTCACTCTCTCATAACTGCAGTTCCCTTGTCTGTGAAAGAGGTAACCTTCAAGGGCTTGTTGAGAGGGTGGAATAACGAAAAGATTTGGTGCAGCGCATATTATGCGCCCAATAACTGAACATTGCTAGTCTTGGCACTGTTGTTTCAAAGGTCTGCAAGGCCTGTGATACAAAGCAGTGCCAAGTATGTCGGGTGCAGGGAGTGTTTGGAGGGGATGGAGAATTAATGAACTGATGGCGATGGTGGCAATGGCGGTTGTGGTGGCGGCGGGGATAAGGTTATCGAGGCGGGGAAAATACAGAGCCCTTCCTGGAGTTCTGGTTTTGCTCCGCTTAGAGCAGGAGGCAGTACAGGGCGGTGGTCCTGGAGCCGGGATGCGTGAGCTCACCTCTTGGCCTTGCCTCAGAAATGTCTAGTCTCAGAGACTTCCTCGCCCTTGACACGCCTCGGTTTCCTTCCCAGCAGAGTGGAGAGAACGCCCCGTGTACCTCATCGGGTGCTGAAGCCCTGCCTGCACTAATGTTTGCTGGAGCGTCAGACCAGGACCCCACACGGGAGAACAGGACGCTCATCACGCAGCAGAAAGCAACCATGCACTTCCCATCCCGCGACCTGCGTGGTCGGCTGTCCCCTTCCCGCCGCCTTGCAGGGAATCTCAGGCTGGTCCTCCTCTTCGAGCCACTCTTGAATTACACAGGCTTCCGGTCACGTCTCAAAGTAGTGACAGCCCTATTTCAGAAATTACAGTGCCCAGTCCTCTATGATAAAGTACCAAGCTTCATTCAGAATTAAAATGTCTCTCTTCCTCCGGTTAATCCCGGCTTAAACGTGAATCTGGGGCTCCCGCCAAGGAGGTCACGCCGGGCAAGGTCTTGCCCCTGCGTGGATGTGCAGGCTGCTGATGCTGCTACCTCGAGGCCTTGGCTGAAATGGGGATAAGAGAATCCTGCCTTTAGCACTGTTACCCGTGCAACACATATGACATTATTACTGTTAAAAATATATTTTTAAATTGTAAGTCCTTAATTTCAGCCCTTTCACTGGGAGCTGAGGCACATATGATGAGTATAAAAACGCTAATTTTGAGTTACTGTATACGTCCTTCCCATTCCAATATAGGGCTGCCAGATTTAGCAAATAAAAACACAGGGCACCCAGTTAAATTTGAATTTCAAACAGACAACAAGTAATCTTTGTGTAAGTATGTTCCATGCAGTATTTGGGATATACTTATACTAAAATATCACTCATTCTTTACCTGAAATTTTAACAGAACTGGGTGCCCTGTGTTTTATCCGGCAGCCCCTTTCCAATAATCCTTGTATCTGAGATAGTTTGGGTTTTCAAGCATTTCAGATGGAAATAACAGAGTGTGGGGTACAAGTGTCCTTAGCAGTGAGAAGAGGGTGGCTCCGCGGCTGGCTAAACGTGGCTTGGTGCCGTCGGTGCCGTAAAGCTCTTGGCTCTCCTGCGTCAGTCCTGCAGCTGTAACGTCACAGGCTCCCGCAGCTCTACCCTGGGCATGCCCTTTTTAATTAAGCTTTTTATTTTGAGATAATTACAGATTCACACGCAGTTATCAGAAACAACGCAAAAGATCTCAGGTAGTTTTTTCCCAGTTTCTCCCAGTGGTAACATTTTGCAGAACTGTAGTATGGCCACAACCCGATTATTGACATTGATTCAATTCCATGACTTCATCCCAGATTCTCCAGTGCTACTTAAACTCGTGTGTGTGTGTGTGTGTGTGTGTGTGTGTGTGTGAGTGTGTGTGTGCTTAGATCTGTGGAATTTTATCACCTGGAGAGTCTCATGAAGGTACAGGACAGTTCTATCACCAAATGGCAGCTCATGTCCTTTTATGACCACACCCACCTGCTTCTGTTACCGCCCCCTCATCACAAACCCCTGGAAGCCACTCTTCTGTTCTCCATTTGGCTCATTGTGTCCTTTCAAGAATGTTATGTACAAACAGAACCAGACAGGGCGTAAGCTTTCGGGATCAGCTTTTTCCACTCGGCAGGCGGGGCTGACGTGGGAGGAGGAAGGAGCGCGCGGCGCTCGTGAGGACAGACTGTCCTCCCTGGGGGTCTACTTA